TGGCACTGCCACCCTGCCTCGCTCACCTGTGGTCAGGGGAGAGGCCCATGCCGATGATGTGCCCATGGATGTCGATGACATGATCCAACGAGTCAAAGAACTCATCCGAGCGCCTCTCCTCCCCAAGCACCGGCCCAGCAGTGGTCATCTGGTGGGGCAGGATCCTTTTAATCCCTTGGGGACAAAAAGCAGAATCAGGTGGTCCTGCTGCCCGCGGGGCTGCTGAAAGTCCCCAGGCTTCAAGAAGGGGCTTCCCTTAGTGCTGCTAAGAAAGGAGAAGTGGCTCACCAGCCGAGGACCAGGGCAGGGCTGCTGTCCCTGTTGGCACGTTCAGCCCCAGCCAGGGAGATGCCCAGTGCCCAGCTGCCAGACTCCAGCCACACCGCGCTCCAAGCCCACCCCCACCCACAGCACACTCCAAAGCCTAACGAAGCTGTGCTGGCCCAGGAGACACTCCAGCTGCAGAAAGGTTTTTCTGCTAAATGAATCCTTGGCCTGGGCCCATTTCCAGCAGCACCCAGCCCGGAGAAGGCCCAGCAGACGTGCTGGCTGTGGCAGGGCTTTCCCCCACCACTGCCAAGTGAAGTGGGGGTCGGCCCCAGAAAGCTCCAAGAGCAATTGGGTTTAAACCCAAACTGGGCTCAAGTGCTTTATAGCCCCAGAACTTTCTAAGGAGACACATGCTACGGGTCAAGCCCTCTCCCCTTTCAGCTCTGCACACAGGTCCCAACCACAAACCATCCACAAGAGCTTCCTGGAGGACTCCTGTGAGCCTTGGCAACTCTTGGGCACACACGGGCTTAATCCTCAGCGGGTCTAAGAGGAGCTGGACCACGGCCCCTCCCATCATCCCTCTGAGGGCATCACTGCTCAACACCCTTGACTTTAGCCTTCTCCTGCAGACCAGCAAGGTGGGGGTGACACCACACTGCACCTCAGGTCTGAGACCCTTCACGACATCACTGCGTCTGAACCTGGGCAGCTCTGGACCTTCACTCTTGCACCCAGCTGGCGTTGCTCGCCAGCACCCTTTGCCTCATTCCTGCAGCTCCCAGCTCCATGCTCCCCGCGCGCACAAGCCAGCGGAACCAGCAGCTTTGCCCACCACTCGAGCCTGGCACCAGCACAAGAGAGCTCAAAGGACCCTCCTGCAGAAGCGCCTGCGTGCTGCAGGTCAGGCACGGCAGCGCCGATGCCCAGCAGCCGGAGCACAGCTCCCACCAGCGAGCTCCTTCAAGTGCCAGCTCCTCGGGGGCGGGCGGCAGCCACACAGAAGCCAGCTGGACACCCAAACTGATGGGCAAACACCACATTTTGCCGTGAGTCATGGCTGGGAGAGGAGCCGAGCCAGGGTTTGTCCCTCTGACCAGCCCGGCTGCGCCCCGGGGGCTCGCTGCGGGCCC